GGGGCGGGGGAGACCCGCTGTGGACGCTGGCGGCCCTGCGGGAGGGCTGGAGGGAGGGAAGGCCCGGCCAAGCCCTTGGAGTAGCGATAAGTTTGTGGGCAGCGCACCTGAGAGGCGGCATCGCCACGGGAAGGTTGTCGGCCGGGGCGAGTTGGGAAGGAGGATTTTAAGACAAGAAATATGGCTGGAACGGGAGAGGTCTTCAGAAGGGCAGGCCCCCTGCAGGGTCAGGGCCTGAGCGCTACATCCTAGGATATTAAAGCATCAGTGCTTTAATATCCGATTAAGGATTTTGATGTGGCTTTCTAAAAACCTTACTGCAAGAGTGACAAGGGACACCTCTCTGAGGTAAACCTGGTGCGCACAGGTAGGCTGCAGTCATGTATTTTTCCAGATGCCATCTTTGTAGGGACAGAGTACCTGGCTTTTCAGGGAGGCTCGTAACTGCCTTTCTTTCAGTCTCACCTCATGGAACTATGAGGTGGTGGGAGCTTTCCTAACCCCCACCCCCTAACCGATCCCATGACTGTGAAGAACATTCAGGAGAGCAACCTGATGATCCGTGAGTCACTCATATAATTTAGCAAGACTGGGCAGTGCTTTAATATATAGAAGGAAATATAATTTTGAGAATTGCTTGGAGCAGTTCTGGTTTTGAGCAGAGTCCACATCTTCCTACTGGATTTTCTTAGTTCTTAGGAGCTGTACAGTTAATACAAAAACAGTAGGTCCCAAAATTCTCTGCCTTCATCTCCAGCATACCTCCATATTAAATTTTACATACATGTCATATCAGAGGAATTGAAGCCTTTTTCAGATGACAATTCCCTAAAACATTTTTCAGAGTGAGGGTGTTTAGTTCAGGCTACTGACAGGTGAATTTTTCTGCTGTAAGGTGTCCATGAAAGGCATCTAGAAATACCACAGTTCATCTGCAGAGCAGGCAGTAAAAACTGGAAAGTCAGTGCAGGGAGTGAACAGCACCAGATGCTCTATATGGTGCCTTTTGTGTAGTAATGCAAAGCTATGAAGCTTCAAGCAGGTTGGTGCTGATACAGTACAACACTAGTCAGAGGTCCATTGCTATTTCAAAACAGAGGCACAAAGACAGGACCAGTTAACCCATGTGCAACACAAAACTGTCATGACTACATCACCTTTTATTCCAGGGCTATTTTGATCAGTGTTAGTTTAAACATGTCCACACCTTGCTGCACTGCACAGTGAGGACATGACAAAGTAAGTGATGAGCAGAATCTCCCTATACTCACTTCTGAGCCACTGTAGAAACACGGCAGGAACAGTGTGCAGAGTTGCAGGAGATGCAGTGCTGGTGTCTGAGGTGAGCGGAATGTGAGCAACAGGCAGTTGGCTGGAGCTCAAGGGGCTGCAAAAGCATGACAGGACAGTCTGTGCTTGGCCTCTTTCCCTGGCATATTGGCCCTGAGACCCAGCATAGCATCCCTGCGCTTCCAGGGAAGTGCTACATGAAGAACATGAAGGGCAAGCACATCCAGGTGGTGGTGTGGTGCAGGCCTTTTAGTGCCTCAGGAAGTAAGGCAAGTGCCTACGCTTTTGTAGACTGTAATCAAGCAAGAAAAGAAGTTAGGGCCTGCACTGGAGGAGTCACGGACAGTTGATACGTACAGGAGTGTTGTTACATTTTGGATGAAGTTATTATGGGTACAACTGTACAGTGATCATTCATGGCGAAACTGGTATTGGAAAGACCTTCATAATTTAAGGGGAGCCCCAATGAAGCACATGCTTGGGAAGAGGATTTGCTAGCATGTACAATACATTGAATATTAGAAAAACTCACAAAGATTGATACTGATTTTTCTTTGTCAAATTTTCTCTTCTGGAAATTTATAATGAAGAGCTTTTTGATCTTCTGAATCCTATTCCCAGTGCTAGAGAAAGACTGCAGGTGTTTGATGATCCCATAAACAAGACAGGTGTGAATGTGAAAAGGTTGGAAGAAATACCTGTACACAACAAAAATAAAGCCTACCAGACCTTGGAAAGAGGTGCAGCCAAAAGAACTACTGCAGCTATTTACATAAATGCATGTTCCAGTTGATCCTCTGTGTTTTCAGTTACCATCCATATGAGAGAAACCAGAGCAAATAGACAAGAGATTGTTAAAACTAGGAAGATAAACTTGGTTGATCTTGCAGGATGT